CCAGAGACTCCTTGGAAAACTTCTTTATCTATGCATGACTCGGCCAGACATTGCATATGCTGTCAGTTGCATCAGCCAATTCATGCATGCTCCCCGGGATACTCATATGGCAGCAACAGAGCGAATTCTGTGTTATTTGAAGGGCTCCCCGGGATACTCATATGCTCAGCTTGAGGGGGAGTGTAGAGAAGATGGGCTGAATGACCCATAGGCTGTTTATCCTTTTTTATCTTTTATGTTCTTTGCTGTAATGGGCCTTATTTTGGGCCTATTCTTTCTATGTTATGTTCTTTTAATTTCTTGCCCAACTAAGGGCCTCTTTGTAAATTATCGAAGTTTAACTTAATAAAATAGTGTTAGGGGTGTAAGAGTGGAGATTAAGGTTCGAAACTCTCTTACTCTAAACCCCTATTGCCGCCATCTTCTTCTTCATCTTCTCTTCCTTAGAAGAATGATTTCTGTTATTTTTTTTTTGATTTCTGCATATGTTCTAAACAGTCCTTTATTCTCAAAAGACTGTTTTTCTTCTATAAAATTTTGGGAAACCTAGTTCCTCCTGGTAGAGGCATTGATGTGAGTGCTTCTTAGAAAGATTGTAGAAGTGGATCAACAGGAGATGAGTTTTTTACACTTTTCTTACAGATGACATCATGAGAAATTGGCAACATGTGCCCCTCCACTACAAATATCCCAACCATTCCTTGGTGTCCCCAACCTCAAAACATCATCAAGATGAATTTTGATGGCTGTAGTATGGGGAACCTAGGTCCTAGAATAGGAGGTATATTTAGGAAAAGGGGATAACATCTTAGCTCTATACTCTAGGCCCATTGGGATAGGTGACTCAATAAGCTTATGAGTAAGGGTAGTTTTGCAAGGATTAAGGCTGACAAAATTTCTAAATTATAGAGGTATTATGGTTGATGGGGACTCAAGAGTGATAGACACTACAGGGGAGACCAAAAATCAGGTAACAGATTGGCTGATGAATTAGCAAAAAAGGGAAGAATGAAATCGAAAATCTAAATGCAGTAGGGTTTAAGGGTAATTGTAAAGGCAAAATGACTGTGGTGGCTAGCTAAGGCTAGTTGCCTAGTAGGGGTGCTTCAGTCATCATTGTACAATATTCTTTTATACATACTAATAAAAAGTTTTCATTCATTGTAGAATAAAAACAGAAGGGAAGGGGTTTTAGGGTCCTTGTCTAGTTGTCTTATTTGGGTTTTTAATATTTTGTTACATTTGTTAATGGTCATTCCAAAATGGCTTGGTTAATATTCGATGAAATAAAGATATGAATTGTTCTTTTGTATTTAAATATTTCTTCATGGAAATAAAAATCCAGTTCGGTTCTACAAGGTTTGTTTTTAATTTGATAATCAAAGGAATATGTGCCATCTTCATTTACTACATTTTTTTGATGAACATGGTATTTGGTGCCAAACATCTTGTGTTCACACATTGCAACTAAACCGTAAAAGCCATCATCTTTTGGAAATGATCAATGTTGGAGGACAGCAATGGAAGAGAAGATGTTTGCTTTACATTGGAATGATACATGGGACCTTGTTCTTCCATTTGGCAAGAAAGTGGTTGGTTGGCTTTGGGTTTATGTAATGAAGTTTCTTCCTGTCAGAATTGTAGAGTGCCCCAAGGCAAGACATGTAGTTTCACATTGATCATGCCATTGATTTTTCTGGGGCCTTTTCCCTTGTAGCTAGGTTTTTTTTTCCTCAGTTTGTATTATTATTTATTTGGCTGCTACATTTCATTGACTTCTATTTCAATTGGATATGCATAATGTTTTCTTGCATGGTGATTTAGCTAAAGAAATGTATATGGAGCAACCACCTAGGTTTATTGCATAAGGGGTGTATGTAGGGATGGTGTGAAAGCTGAAGAAAGTACTATATGGACTTAAATAGTCACCACACACTTAGTTTGGGATGTTTGATGTTGTAATAATTGATTTTGGATTGTGTAGATGCCAGTCTGACCATAAGAGTTTGGCAAAAGTTTTAAATGCAGGGTGCCAACCTGGTGCAACTGTCCTCTTTTATCCGGGCTTGCGACCAGCGGTATAAGACAGGGTCACACAAATGGAGTTAAGATGGTTTGGTCATATGCATAGAAGACCACCTACAGCACCCAAAGCTCTTGAAGTTTAACAATGGATATGGCATTAAATAGAACAGACTGGCAAAACAGGGATTCATGTAGCAGACCCCATATAGTTGGGGATAAGGCTTAGATGATGATTATAAAATGCTTGTCTGATTACTTTGTTTTTATTAGGACATTTGATGTTGGAAGCAATGTTTTGAAAATCGTAATCGTATTGTAAATTGTAGAGAAAGTTGAATTGAATCAAGTTGTGAATTGTAAGATTATTTCCATTTTTTACTTGTTAAAAAAATTAAATACAGATATGCTAAAAGGACACACACACACACACACACACACACACACATATATATATGTATGTATGTATGTATAGGAAAGTGGTTTACCCTATTTTTAATGCATATCTACCATATATGTACCTAAAACAATAGATTTTTTTGTGATGAATCACCTAAAATTCTACCTAAAACAACAAAATTTACCACTTGTGCAATAGAAGCATAGGATGATATAATCAAGTTTGACTTGAAAATCAAATAATTCACATACAATGACTCTTTAACCTACATATGATGGAAAATAAACTCAATGCTTGGTCTTAAATAACATAAACAAATCATTTTCTAATAAGGCCTTTAAAACAAGCTTCCCTTGAGAGAACTAATTCTTAATTGAATTTATTTTTATCATAGTGAATCAAAATAATCATATAAGTCATAACATTTATGAATCAAATCATAGGATTAAAACGATTTTTGTAGAAAAGGATTCAGACATAAGATTCAAATCGAAACCCTTGGAAATCACTATTCAAATTGTGAATCCTATCGTAAATCATAATAGTTTGACAACGTTGGTTGGAAGTATTACTTTGGTTGTATATGTAGATAATATTGTGCCTATGGGGAGTAATTCTCAAGGCATCAGAGACTAAGAACTACTTTTGCAGTAGTAGTTGTATATCTTAGATTTGGAAAAGCTACCATATTAGTTCCTTGTAATATTTATCTCATCATTAATAAAGCTCTTTTGATTATTACTGATAAAATATCTTATTCTTGCATATCCATAAAAAAGTCATATTCTTGCATCATAGACATAGGTTTAGGAGTGAGCTGTGTTACTGGAATATATTTAATTGATAATGGTTTTAGGCATTTTATTGCAAATAAATAAAGACTGGCACGGTTGGCTGGATTGAACTAGCAGGTTACATATACATACAGGGGGAAAATGTATAAGCCAGTTCTACTAGCCCCTTCTTTTGCAAGAGCATCAGTGGAAGAATTTGTAGACTTAGGAATCCAGTGACACCAAGGATCTTAGTTCCTTCATGTAGGACCATGGGACTGACGACCTTTCAGCCACTCCATACAACTTATGCATCTCTATTCTACTACAAGCTCTGCATAACCCAATAAAATGGTCAAATTTTATGTATTAGGATCTAAATTTTTTTATGTTAATATAATTTCTTTTGCTTTCATTTCAAAATGCAGGTTTTCCTCAGCATGTTAATAAGGTTTACATCTCTTGATTTGTCACTATGGCATCGGATTCTTGTCCTTGAAGTTCTGAGGGTAAATCTGTCCCATTTATCGTTTATTACCTCAAAGCATAATATAATTTATTTAATTATAAGATGGTTTCTTATGGATCTGGATATGATAATTAGGAAACATTTTGGTTTGGCAGGGCTTCTGTGTGGAGGTTAGGACATTGCGTCTTCTTTTCCAGAATTTTGACATGTAAGCTTTTGGCTCTGAATCTGATATTCTTTTTTTGTTGGCCATGTTGACTTCTTGTGCTGATAATTGGAATCCAATGATGAATCTGGGAATTCCTCTTTGGTGGACAGAGCAAATGTCCTAATAACTATGGAGAGAACCATATATACGTTAATATACATTAATAGAATATGCATAAGGAATTTGGGATAGTATCATAATTTTCTCTATTTATAAATTCGGGCATGTAGTACTTTTTGTACACATGTTTTTTCATCTGTAATAATGACCAGAGAGAAAAATGACCGTAGGGTTGGGTGGGAGGTGGTTTGCAAGAGTAAGAAGGATGGAGGCCGTGGCATTGGGAATATAAGGAAGAGAAATTTGGTTTTATTAGGGAAATGTCTGGAGATTTTCACTAGAAAAAGAAAAGTTGTGGGCTATGATAGTGGGTAGTATTCATGGATTTGTAGAGAATATTGGGACTTTGGGATTCTGGCAAGGACTACAAGGGCATCACCCTGTAAAGCAATCCAAGGTATCTTGCCTCTGTTTTCTCCCTGGTTCAGGTATGATTTGCACTCAAGGAATTTCATTAAGTTTTGGGAACATGTTTGGTTTGCGGATCATCCTTTAAAAGGTCAATTTCCGGCTCTCTTTGCTATCTCTTCCTTTAAGAATAAACCGGTATCCACCTTCCTTGTACCCTCTAACTCAACCTTTGGGTTTGGGTGGAACTTGGGCCTGAGAAGAGATATTAGGGACATAGAATTGGACAGTACCTTAACTCTGTTGTCCATCCTTGATGGGGTTTTCCTAGAGCCAAGAAAGATAGACAATAGAATTTGGGCCCTCTCTCCTTCTGGTTCCTTTAATTGTGCTTCATTCTTTAAAGCCGTAACACAACCAACTGTTCCTCTTGGTTTGTCTTTCCCTGTCAAAGAGGTGTGGTTTCAACCTATTCCTCTGAAGGTTGGGAGTTTCTATTGGGAAGCCTTCTTGGAAAGAGTTAACAAAGGTGATTTGTTTCAAAGAAAAAGGCCCAATAGATGTTTGTTTCCTCACTAGTGTGTCCTTTGTAAAACTGTTGGTGAGTCTAGTTTTCACTTGCTAATTTCCTGTGAACTTTCGAACTCTATTTGGGAATGGTTTACTTCTTTGTTTGGGTGCAGGTGGACTTCACCAACGAATGTGCAAAGCTTATTTACTTCCCATCCCTCCAACTAGTCAACAAAAAGGGCAAGGATTATGTGCAGATGTGTTAGGGCTGCTGTATGTTGGTCTATTTGGGAAGAAAGAAATTCAAGGATTTTATCAAAAAAGGAGATAAGCTTGGAAGCAGTGTTAGAGGTGACTCATATAAGGGTAATACATTAGTTCAAAATATTGGATCTGTTTGTAGAATTCTCAATGGATGATTTGCTAAGAAAATGGAAGGAAATTTGAAACTTCCATCTCTCGGTTTTATGAAGCTGAATTTTGATGGCAGCAGCATGGGCAATCCAGGGCCCTTGGGTATAGGGGGAGTTATAAGGGACGAAAAAGGGAATGTGTTAGCCATGTTCTCTAGCCCAATCGGAGTGGGAGATTCTTTGAGTGCTGAGATTTTAGTAGCTCTTGAAGGGGTACAAAGGGCTAAAGATCTAAATGCCAATAAACTGATCATAGAAGGAGACTCTGAGACTGTAGTGAGCTGGCCAAAAGAAGACAACTCTAGGCTCTGGAACTACAACAATGAAAAGAGGAAATTTAAATGGCTACTAAGGACATTGAAGTTCGATACACATGGGTAAAGAGAAGTGCAAATTCCTTTGCAGATGGCTTAGCTATTCATTTGTATCTGAATTGAATTCAATAAATTAAAAAATAAGAATATGAGATTTGACTTCAACCATTTATAATATTCAAATTCAGATTTTTGAATATTGTTTACACCCCTATTCATGGCACTCAGTTTGCAAGGGCTTCCACAACATCCCAACTCTCTTTTTCTATGTTCCCTCACTGTATAGGGAAGACACCCTTCCACACCTTTCTACAAACCAAGGATTAAAGTGTCAGTATCGGGTATTGTATCAGACCACTCAGATACGAATATGGATATGGATACACATTGGAAACACGTGGATGCAAACAAAAAAATATGAAGACGCTTGGATACGTTGGGAAATGCATATAAATTCCACAAATATATTAATAACATTATATGTAAGGTCAAAATAACCATAATTAATGTATAGATAACATATGAAATGTATATTCTAATGGTATATGTGAAGAATTATCAATTGATATAGCGGGATACATAGAAATCATACAATTTTATTGCTAATGTATCCATCAAGAGTCCTAGAACATATTATATTTATTTTTAGAAATTAATACATGTAGAAAGCTATTATTATATTATTTTCTATTGAATTTCAAGGCACAAAGTATAAGCAACTATTATATGTGAATTATTATAGCAATTATTTCCTATTTTACTATTTTTAATTTTTATCATTAACAAAAAATTCAAGTAAAATTAATTCTCAAATGTTTGGTAAACATTTTTTTTATTTTTGTAAACAATTAATATGTTATTATAAAATGTAATTAGAATATTGATTAATAATTTATAAAAATATATAATCTTAACTTAAAATATATCAAATGTATTAAAATTTTTAAGATACATATCATATGCAAATTCATAATTTTAATTACTAAAATAAATTTTCCATTATTAATATTTTTATGTATATAAATTTTATGAAATAAAAAAATAATTTTTTGATATGAAAGTATATTACTGGATTTGACAAATTCAATTTATATTATATTCTCAAGTATTTTGTAAACATTATTTTTATTTTTGTAAATAATAAGTATGCTGTTATTTAGTGTAAATTAAAATTATTAATTAAGAATTTATAAAGATTTTAAAATACTTGTCATGTTCAAATTTATAAATTTTAAGTACTAAAAGAATTATTCTATTATTAATATTTTTATTTGTATAAATTTCTTGACATTAAAAACCACCTTTTCGTATGAGTGTGGAGTTGAGAAATTATTTATTCCATTAGTTTACAAAACAATAATTTTGAATATTATTTTTTCATCTTTAGTTGAAATTGTTGAACATAGATATATGTTATTTGTTTGGATTACATGTAGAAGTGATTATATTATTTCATTTATTATAATAAGATGAAGGTTGGCCTAGTGGTTTAAGGTTTGTGTGCTGGGTGATTTGTGTTCGAATCATGACAACTGCATATTTTAAACATAGAGGCAAAAGTGGAAACACGGGCAGTATATGTTTTTATTGGTTTGTATCGGTCAAAACAATATGATACAGGCTGGTATGAGTGCATATCGGGGCAATATGCACGACTCGGGGGATTTGGGCCTAGTTGTAGCATTTCTCGTATCCCCCTTGGCCAATACCGATACGATACACCCTGTATCGGGTGTATCATACACTTTAATATTACAATATACTTCTACCTTTTCTCAAAAATAGTATTTTTCATCATATACAACCTTTGTATTGGAACTAAATGGCTTGTATGTGATAGTGGATGAAGGGTTGGACACATTTGTGCAATTTTTATTGCATTGATAATTTCTGTTTTATTTATTTTTATTTTTTTTGGTTTAAAGAAGAATCATAGTTATTATTTTTCATTTGTAGATTGGTTCCCACTGTCACATGTCATAGGTGAATATGGCTTTGGGAATAAGTGGTGCAATTGGATTTTTGGATGTGTTAGTTCTTGCCATTACTCTATCCTGGTTAATGGAGTGGTGAAGGACTTCTTCCCAGCTTGTAGAGGTATTAGACAAGGGGACCCTTTATCACCTTTCCTCTTCACTCTAATAGCAGAGGTGCTTAGTAGAATGATCTCAAAGGCTAGCAGAGAAGATGTGATTAAAGGGTGGAGAATAGGTAGGGATGATATTCCGGTCACCCATCTCCAATTTGCAAATGATATTCTGTTTTTCTATGATGGGGATGATATTGAGAAAGTGAGAAATCTTAAGGATCAGGTTAGAAGCTTTGAGAGATTGTCAAATTTGAGTATCAACTTTGGAAAGAGTTGTGTAGCTGGTGTTAACTTGGAGGACAGTGAGGTAGAGGCTATAGCAAGAAGCTTAGGGTGTTCTATTTTGTCTTGACCTATGACCTACTTGGGGCTTCCGTTAGGGGAAAATCCTAGGGAGAGTAGCTTTTGGTGGCCAGTGGTAGAGAGGTTCCAAAAGAAGTAAACCTCATGGAAAAAAAACTATATATCCTTGGGGGCTAGAATCGCGTTGATAAGAGCCACACTTGCTCACCTACCAACCTATTTCCTGTCTATCTTTAGGATACCACCTAGGGAAGCTAAGAAGCTAGAGAATTTGATGAGAGATTTCCTTTGGGAGTCGGGGGAAAGTAAGAAGGATCACTTGATAAAATGGGAGGTGGTATGCCAGAATAAAGAGGAGGGGGGATTGGGGTTAGAGAATTTGATTAAAAAAATAAAGCACTGCTAGGGAATTGGCTGTGGAGGTGGCTAGTGGAGAGAGAGACCTTGGCATGAGGTGGTGGGTAGTATTCATGGTCACTTAGAAAATGAATGGGATGCTAGAGCATCATGGCGGGAAACCTTGGCAACACCATGGAAAGCTATTCATGGCATTCTTCCTCAGTTTCTCAGTTTTGTTAGGTATGATGTTTGTAATGGTAATTGTGTCTTATTTTGGGAGGATACTTGGGATGTTTGGGTCAAAGTTTTTTTCCATTATGAATAATCCATTAACACCAAATTGGGACTTTGGGTTTCGTAGAGGTTTAAGGGAAGAGGAAATTGTGTCCCTAATAAATCTGCTAAGCCTACTTGATACAGTGTGTTTGGACCCTTCTGAACCTGAGAAACTGATTTGGACACCCAAGCCGAATGGATCCTTCTCATGCGCTTCTTTCTTTAAATCCATTACTCAGTCTACCCCAGCCAGCCTTTCCCTCTTAAGGAAATCTGGTGTAGGCTTGT